CATTGTTCAGGCCACGATGGCGTTCTGTCAGCCTCTGCTGATGGACAGTCCCACCGAGGCCAGCTTCCTGAGCAGACGAGACGGGCGCTGTTTTCTTCTTGTCTCTTATCACCCCTTGTCATGGAAAGAGAGGCCTGGCTTCAACTTCAATTTGTGCTGATACGCAGCCGCGCACAGGCGAGCCAGGGGAAGTGGTCATTGCCCTCATTAAGGCCTCTGCTCTTCTTACAGCCCTGGGACCTGCTTCCTCTCTGGGAAGGATTAATAAACCAAAGCATGAATATGCAAGCATGCAAGAGTTTCAACAGAGACTTGGTACTGCAAACTCTCCTGGGGGAACATTCAGACTTCGTTTTTTCTTTTCTTCCCATTCTCCTGGACTCTCAAAGCTGCACCTCTTGAATCTTGCCTGGGATATTCTGTGCAACTTGAAAGCGTTTTCTATATCACCGCACAGTTTGTTGTTTTTTTGTTCGGTTTTTTTTGTTTTGTTTTGTTTTGTTTTTGTTTTTGTTTTTGTTTTGCTTGTTTTGTTTTTTGGATTTTTTTAAGCTGTCCTATCTAAAATGAAAAATTCCCCCAAGAGCAGAGCTTCCCTGCTCACTCTGCATTAGCATAAAATTAGATCAAGAACCAAATTTGTGGGCATTCTATTATTCTCTAGGAACCTGGGCTATTCCTCTATTTTGCTATTTTAAGGAAAGTGGAAGGAAAGGCAGGAATAGGGAGCTCAAGCTCCAGATCTTAAATTCCTGAAGCTGCTTCATCGGGGTTTCCACCAGCCTTACTTTTCCTCCCTAACATCCCCTCTCTGCATCTCCTCCTTATTTATGGCTCTCTCGAGAGTCCATTTCTTTCCATATGCACATTAGAAATTTAACAACATCCCACCAAAAGCGCTCACAGTCTTAAATGCTTCTCCGCCTGCACAGGGATGCCCTTGGCAGGTCTTATGAGCAGCCCTATCGAGGAAGCCCGCCTTCCCACCCAGAAGTGCAAATCAATATTCCAATTTTTCCCAGGCCACATCCATGAAAGGGAGAGAAAGAGAAATGAGACCGTGACCTTTGAGAGTTAGCCTCTGTGATACAATCTCTGTAATGGCACTCCCCGCAGTGATTTTAGGGGGTGTGGGTAGGTATCAAAGGGATTTCCTGTGTCCAATCACGATCAAAATCATAAGATGGGGGAGGGAAGAAAATGAACCGGTGTCATTTCAAGATGGGGGATTATCTTGATGGAGATGAAAATGCCCCCAGGAGACTAGAGGAGGGGGAGGTGTCTTAGGGTGGTCTAGACTTTTCTGGATTTCAGGTTAACCACCATCGGCTCAGGAACTGGCTTCATGATTTCTGCAGGGTTTGGCCTGGCTCTTTATCAGTCCATTAGAACAAGAACATAAACCAGGAAAGCCCGTAGCTTTGCTACAGCAAACCATGCCCTCCCACCAGGCCATGCTGCTATTTATGCCTGGACAGAACATTTAGAGGACATCTCAAGGTCAAATGAGCCAACGGTAGTCGGGGAGTCTGGGAGAAACCAAGGGGGCTCGAGGCATCTGGACGTGCACGGTTTTCCCTCTGCTCACGCTGTTTTGCTGCTGTAAAATGCTCAGCTAACCCTAATTGAAGCTGACAATAATAAATCACATGTTGAAACTGTATAGCTCACCTAAGGACCAGCGCTGGAGACGGTGAGGACACCAGAAGCCAGAGTTCAGGAAATGTCATATTCACATAGAAATGCTTTACATTCTTCTCAGGGCTTTATTGTCTCGGTTTTGGGGAAAAGTCCCAGGCCACCCAGCACCCAGAATCCCTTTTGGAAACTGTTCATAAAATCATCACTTTCATTCTGCTCTTGCCCTGTCACTACGCTGTGGCTTTAAGCCCATCCAGAAAGAAGGAACTGGACTGTCAAAAAAAAAAAAAAAAAGAGAGAGAGAGAGAGGAGAAAAGAGCAAAACACATGAACTCATTCTCATGCTTCTCATCCTTAAAAACGGGCCTTACCCCAGTGGACAGGAAACTATATGGCGGCCTTATTTTCTCCTCCTGGCTCTCCCCACTGCCCCACACAGTCCTGTGAGAATAAGCAGCCACCCTGTCCTTGGAAATACACCCTGTCCTCGTGTCTCTGCAGCCGAACAGCCTTCCTTAAGCTTTTCTCTGTCCTGTCACTCCTAAGCAGCAGGCCTGCCCACGTCACCCCCCAAAGTACACTCCTGGTGCCCCCAAACCTTGCAAACGAAACCCTTGACTCTATGTGTTCTCTAAAGGACACCACCGAAGCCAGGAGTTGAGCGTAAAAGGTCCGGGCCGTCTTCCTCTTGCCTCACAGGCTGCTGGAGGCCAAGCACATCCGGGCACTCGTCTCCATGTCCCTCGTCCCCACGTCGGCGCAGCAGTGGCCGGCCCGGCGGAGAGAGCACTGTTTTGTTTTAATGGAACCTCATCCTTTTCCTTCACTGGGTCTCTCGGTCTAATTAAATTTCAGGGAGACAGAGCCTTGGCAGAAGGTTAAAGTAAGCTGCTAGGCTGGAATGTAGGAGTCGGACTCAAAAGTAAATTGGGAAGTTGAACTGGGTGAGTCTCTGGTTTCAATGAAATACTTTCACAGCATAGGGTAGCAAATGTCTGTCTCTACGCTTTTGAAAACCATTTTTCTTTCTCCTTAATTGTCGTCCCCTAGTTGTTTTTATATTAAGAGCTACTTGTAGAAAAATACAGGAAACATAATCACAATACAAAGCTCCCTTTCCCAAGCCTACTGAGATCATCTGAAGCCAAACTGGGTTTTAGGGTTTTGCTAACTCTCTTCAGAGCGGGGCCTCGTGCCCCAGGTTGATTTACAGCGAGTGTTACGTGATGAAACAATCTCTGCTTCTGCAAGACATGTCACTGCTATAGAATTGGGGCAGGGGGCAGGTGGTTGGCTCTGTTACCTTGTGGCACCACATTTCTTCGCTCCCTCTGGAGAAGAAGAATGAATATCTTTGTGCGACTCTTCTAGGAAAATACAAGTACTGTGGAAGCCTACACATATTTAGGGAAAGGAAAAGATAGATTCCTTATTCCACGTGTGTTTCCAGCTCCGCGTGCGTTGTGTCGGATGGCTAATCATTAAATTCTGTTCCCCTGCTTTCCCTGAAGGGCCTGTCGATGGGCATTCTGGGCCAGCAGAAATAGCTTGCTTGACTGTGATTAACCCCCGGGAGAGGAAGCCTGTCCTTCACTGTATTGTGAAATGCAGAGCCTTTGGGAGTTTGATTTATTCACGCTGAAAAAACTAATAAGGGGGTGAAGGAGGAGAGGTGTTGAATGTTCTCTGAGAGGACAATTGCATGTACCCAGGGAGACTCCAGAAGGAGCACCCAGGCCGCCTTTGGTGTGGAAGGCTCAGCAAGCCCCTGCTAGACTTTCTGGCCCAGAAATGTTGTGACTCTGTGCAGACCCCTCCTCCCCCCCACACACATGCCTGCAAGTTTCAGGGGTGCCAAGGAACGTCACCGGGGAGGGCTCTCCGTGGCAGCTGGGTGACCTGTTGCTTTCACTTGATACAGCGGCTTTTAGGGGCGTCTAGTCCTGGGGGGTAGCTGAAGTGGCTAATGAGCATGGCTCTTGTTTAAAGAGCTATTTTCTGGGGCTTTCACACTCTTCTGCTCCTGCCTGTGTGCTGCAGGACGGATACATGTGTATGTAGAAAAGCTCAATGTTCCTCTCACCATGCCCTCTAAAAAGGATCTATTTCAAGGTATTTTTCCTTTTCTGTGCATCTCGTCTTCCTTCTCTTTCCTTCCTTCCTTCCTTCCTATCCTTCAGCAAATCATCTTGAAATTCTCATCTTCATTTTCTTCTAAATCAGTTTTCAGAGCGCCGTGAGAAGTAATGGCCGGGTGGCGGTCCAGATGGAGGATTCATGTAGTCTCTCATTTCTTTTAGCCAGTTTTCCTTCCTAGGAAGTCTCCTAGAGTGGATGAAAACTCTTCCAAAGCCCTGGTGTTTTCGTGGGTACTAGTGATGCAGCTCTACCTGGGTCCTGGGGCCTTTTGTATAGTGACACAGGGCCCTGCCAGCTGGGCGGGGCCGACCGCTAAGCAGACACTTGGGGACCCAGCCTCAGTACAGGAGCTGGGGTTCCTTCGGGGCCACTGAGATGAGCCATGGGGGCGGGGGGAGGGGGGGTTGCTCTTCAAAGCAGTAGTTTCAAACCTCTGCTTGCAGCTCATTAGTGGGTCCTGTGATGAAGGAAGCTGTGGAGATCAGCATTTTCCAGAAGTGGGATGGAGTAGGGAGTGTGTGGTGCCCCTGAACAGCAAGGGGGAGGTTTGCAGCAGAACTGCAGTTTCGCAGTTTCGGTTCCTGTGCCTGCCGGTGAGCTGGATGGGCAGGACAAGGCAACTGCCAGCCGGAGTCACCCCCGGTGGGTGCGAAGAGCTCAGATCTGGAGGCCGCGAGTGAACCCAGGCTGGGTTAGATAAAGGGGCGCGGGCCCTCCTAGCTGAGGATCAGATCCCCGGGGGTTCGCAGCCCTAGGGGGAGAGGAGCTGGCCGGGCGCGGGGAGGGGGCGTCTGGTGATTTACTCCTTTCTCTTCTTGCCCGAGAAGTGCAGTAATTCGAAACAGTTCTCACAGTAGCGTCCCTGACAACTTAATGTATTTAAAAAGCGAGAGAGAAAGACAGGGAGAGAGAGAGAGAGAGAGAGAGAGAAGTCATCAAGCGGCCGCCGTGGAGGGAGGCGTGGACGCGAGGCGGCGGCTGGCCGAGCCGGGACGGGATCGCGGTCACGGTCCCGCCGGCCTGAGCAGAGGCGCTCTCTGCAGCGCGACCTTCGCAGGATTTACGCCTCGGAGACCTGTGCCCCAGGAGCCCGGCGGGATCCTACTCGAGCGTCCCTGGTCTCTGCGCCCTGGAGGTCTCCCGGAGGGCGGGGGTCCCTGTGGCTCAGGACCCTGCCGCCCCCCACCCACGCCCGCCTTCTCTGTCCCTCCACCCCGCAGGACTTCCTGCAAGGAGACTGCACCAAAGCGAAACAGAAGCTGAACTGGAAGCCCCGTGTCGCTTTTGATGTAAGTGTCTTTTGCGCGGGGAGCCCGCGCGGGGAGCTTGCTGCAGCACTGATGGGGAACCAGGCCGGGAACTGGTGCCCAGGCCCTGAGCAGCAACCCGCTGGGGCTGCTGCCCCGCAGGCCCGGCTGGGAGGGTGAGGAGGGGCCAGGGCGGAGGGGGGGCGCCCTGAGGCCTCTCAGCCCCCCACAGGGGCTAGCGAGCTTCTGGGGGAGATAGCAGAAGCCCCTCCCTCACTGCCCACCCCGTGTCTGGCCCCAGGAGCTGGTGAGGGAGATGGTGGACGCAGACGTGGAGCTCATGAGGAACAACCCCAACGCCTGAGCGCCCCGGGAGCCGAGCCGCCCCTGCCGACCTGTGGCCCCGCCTGGAATCAGCTGGTTGGGGGCTGCGGGGAGATCCGGGAGGGACAGGGACGCGCAAATCCACATTCCCGCGTGCTCCCCACTCGCCATGGGCGGGCCCCTCGGGATCTGGGGCTCGCTGAGGTTTGTAGCAGCCGGGATGTGGCACTGCAGGGCTCACCCCGCTTTCCTTTTGTCGAGGCCTTCTCTGAAAGGGTTTGTGAAATCAGCAAGATGTTTGAATCACAGGTTCACTTTACTTGAAATTATGTCCTTGGACAGCTGAAATTATGGGGCTTTCAAATTCTTCTTTTCTTATTAAAAATAGCCTTTCTATGAACCAGCATTAAGCAGAGTCTGTTGTCCCTGTTTTCTCCTAGTTACAGAAGTAGTGACAAGTCCCCCCCTCCCCCAAAAAAACCCCAAAACACTCAAATCCATGCGTGGGAGTGAAATAGCTTCCTTCTGGCCGCGCTCCCTTTTGCAAGCCCTCTGCCGCTGGACCCTGCTGGGCCCTGCCGGGCTCCTCCTCGGCTCTGCCTGGGCCATTTCATTCCCCCTCTGGTGACAATAAGCCACTCTCTCCAGCCGATCTGCAAACCCAGTTCCTGCAGAAAGGAGCCATTCACCCTGGTGTGCGCCACTATAATTAGAACCCACAGAGCTCTCACCATTTCAAAAGAAGGCTTCAGAAACTCAGGGGGGATAGGAGAAGAGACCTGAGGTAAGTAAATATTGTTGGAACATTCCATGCCAAAGTCCCTGGGTTACCCAGAGGTCTCGCAGCCCATGCCTCGCTTGGGCTGTAGAACCTTTCCCACAATGCTGACGTCCAGCTCTTGGTACGAGATCATTTTTAAAATCTAATTCTGATGTAGTCATTCAACCCGTTTACATTAAGTGCCTCCCAGATGCCAGGCACTGTGCCCTCGGACTACCTCAGCATGCATCAGAAGGTGTAATGAAGAGGTTTGAGGCTTAGCCTCAGCCTGACTGGGTGAAGGGGCGCTGGGGCATTGTGTCGCTGGGAGGGCTTCTGCCCCAGGTATGCGCTCCCAAGCCGGCACATGTGTGCACAGCTGAAGGCAGGTGGACCCACACACGTATGGACCCACAGGCAGCAAGTGGGGATCCTGTACAGGTGTCTACCTCAGTGTGAAAGGCAATCTCTCCCCTAGAACAAATTAGGCCAGGACTCTTCTCCCCCTCGCTCCCCCTCCAAGGAAAATAAAATAAAACTTTATAGCAAATGGAATTCCAGCCTTTGCACATGCTGCTGGGAGCGGGGGTGAACTATTTCTGAATGTCTTCGCAGGCAGGTTTATGATCTGGGGGAGGACCCAGACTCCGAGGGCTGGCGGCAGGAGAGAGGGCTCTTTGTGTGGCTGCCTGAGCTGCTGCGAAAGCCTGCTGGCCAGGGGCAGCCTGGGCTCCGATGGAGCAGAACTGGGGCGGCCTGAGCTGGCCCACCCGGTTCTCAGAAGCTGCCCCGATCGGGATGCTGCTAATTGGAAACAGATGGTCCCTGGAAGGCTGGGCCCCCACAGCTAAGCAGGCTGGTGGGTGCACGCTCACACACAGACTCCAGTGCATAGATCCAAACATGCTCACGCATGCAAATACACATCCAGGGACACACCGCACGCACACACATTCGCTCGCAAACACTTGCGAGACACAAAGCCTCCAACACAACCATTCACAAATCTCACCGACCAACGTGCTCACATTCCCCTTCCCTGTGACCCTGGCGCATGAGAACCCCCTCTCTTCCTTTGATCCGCCCCCAAATCACCACCTCCTCTGAACCCGGGTGCAGAGACCACTCAAAGAAACTCGGGACCGTTTATTTCCGCGTTTGGTGGCTGGTTAGCCCAAAATCATAAGCTCCTCCATGAGAACACTGAGGTTCTAGAAGGGGCTTCATGGGACTCCAGTGGAGCCATAATGGTGAATTACTCCTCAAGAGGACGCGGAAGGTATTTTGGTTGTACCCTCAATGGGGGCATGAGGGGTAGGCAGAGGACTCCCCAGCCCTCCACGTATGTGTTCCAAAGAAGGAAAAAGGAGCAGATTTCCTTGAGTACCCTGTGCTTTCTTTTTGTGCTGTGAATACTTATTGGACATCCCTCAAGACCATTCTTATTAAAGGGTTTCATCTATCTTAAGTCTCGACTCATTTCAGTGAATTTACTTCCCTCCTACACACATGCTTTTTTTTTCCCCCTGCTCAGCCAGCTCTGGCTATTATTCATTTTAGATGTGATAAAAGAGCTTCCACCTTCTCTTTCAGTAAAAACTAAGAACGTTAAACTCTCAACACACTGAAACGTAATAGCAAAGCCGTCAGATGCCCTGTTTGTACCTCAGATGAGCAACAAGATGTGTGGCCCCACTTCCTGTGGATCCTGCCTGCCAGACGCTTCCATTGGCTGTGGTCTGCTGCCCTTTGCCTTTATGGAGTTAGGGGAGGTAGGCCCAGCACAGTAACCCTGACACACCTCCACAGCAGCCTGGGGGCCAAGGCCAGAGCGCAGGCTGCTGGTCCTGCAAGGGAAGTGGCCGAGTGCGTTGGAATACAAATCATGAAACTCAATTTAAGGCTATCCTTGTGCCCCAGTAAGCCAGGAGCACCAGGCTTCTCTTGGCCTCCACGAATCGTCTTCACCAACACCAAGAAAGACACGTCTGCTGTGGAGCAGAACTGCCTGGTGTGACTAAAGCTTCCAGCAGGAGGTGGCCCTTTAAATCTTTGTCTCATGATAACCTGAAATGCACTGTTTATAACTGCCCTTTTAAGCCCTAAGAAAAGGCTTCAAAGAAGCCCAGGCACCTTGCTGCGTTTGGGGATTCCAACCAGGTACTCTGAGTTGTAAGATGCATCTCATAAAGTCCGAGTTCACGGGCATCTTTCAGGGCAGGCACTGCAGCCTGGAGTGGACGGGCTGGAGAGGACTCATGGGGCTCTCCTGCCCGGACTTCAAAAAAAAAAATCGTGTCTGTTGGTGGATCTATCTTACAAGCCTCTCTACATATGCCAACGTGCCACCACACCTCTTCAAAAAGTGCAGTTTTCATCCCTGGGGCTACCTAGACTTTTCCCCCCCAGCAGTGACAAACAAAGCCTCTCTGGGAGCTGGTCCACTGCAGCGGGCCAGCAGTCAGGGATCTCCACTACCCACAGTGGTGGCCTCCCAAACACACAGGTGCTGGCCATGATTTCTTTGGGGAGTGGGAGGTGGTGTACTGCCCTTGTCTGAAGAGGGCTGGAGGCAGAGGCCTCCTCACGACTTCCCAACCTGTTCCATCCCCTGGGCACACCCAAACACTCTGAGCACCTCTGGGGGTGCACCATCTGGGCTTACCTCCACTGGATCTCAGGCTATTTGGCAGCCCTGGGCCACACTCCCTCCCCCAGCAGCAGGAAGCTGTGAAGATTCCTAGGCCTCACCTGGTGCCCTGGTGTGCCCCACCCCCAAGGACCTTTCCGAGGTCCTGTTACCGATAAGCCCACCCCCACCCTCCCGTTTCTTACGGTCAGTGTCTCTGCTTAGGGGTCCACGACTGACCACGCTGCCTACTCCCAGGTCAGGGTCACACACAGCAAGCACCCCCCTTTTTAACAGGGAATGAGGGGGCCAGAGGTTTGCTTAGCCCAAAGTCTAAGGACACTGGCACTGAGACCCACTGGGGACTGTGTTGAAAAGCATCCCTAAGGCAGAGGCAGAGACCTGGAATGGCCCCTGTGCTGGCTCCCTAGCCCCTGGGGCTCAGGCGAGGCGCTAGATCTCCAAGCTGCCAAGCTCTGGCCTCGACCCAGAGGCCTGTCCCTGGATGCCCACGACCCCCACCACCCACCACTGGGGAGACTGAGCGGTGCGCACGCGCCAGCCGGGTCACTCTGCTGGGCCCGCGTCTGCGCTCATGCTCATTGGCGTGATGGGCACCGGCTGTCTCGAGCTCGGCACCCTGGGGCGCCGCAGCGGCCTGAGGGCTGCAGGAGAACTGTGCTTCATCCGACAAAAAAAAAGAAAAAGAAAAAGAAAAAAGCAAAAAAAAAAAAAAAAAAGCCCCGCATCTCAGCCCGGCCTAGCCGAAGTGCCTGTGCGCCCCGGGCGCACACGGAGACCAGCGCTAAAGCCTGAGGTCCAAAGGCCGTGGGCGGGCGGTGGACCTGGGGAGGCGGCCGAAATCCGGGCCCTGGGACTCGCGCGACTCCGCGGGGAGGCTCTGGGCCCCGGCCAGCCTGTGAGGAAGCGGCACAGCCCGAGGCCTGGGCCGGAATGGCGGCTGAGGGCGAGGGAATGTATATTTGGAAGGGGTCAAGACCTCGGCTGGAGTCTGGCTTTTTATGGCGAGGAAGCCGCCTGGGAAGGGCCTTCTGGCGAGGCTTTCCTGTTGTGCCACTTTCCCCCCAGGCTATGCTGGGGAGGGAGGGAGGCCTGATCCGGGCGGCACCCCGGGCCCCTGACTCCTGCAGCCATTTTCCCCGGAACAGAATCTGCCCGCAGGTCGCCCAGCGCAGGAGCCAGTCCGCAAAGCGGAGGAATGTCACATCATTTCTCGGTCACCAAACACCCTCGTTGGAAAGCGCCTGTCCTGAGCCCCGACAGTCCGTGCAACCAGTGGGAGAGGGCGCGCGCGGGCAGCCCTGGTCTGGACCAGGACTGGTGGCCGAGGAGACCAGCCCCTCGGGTTCCCTCTGGGAATTTCTAGCACCTAGACAGCCCTGGGCTGCCCGCTCCCCTCTCTCAGGGGACATTTTAGGCGGAGGATCTCGAACCTCACTCCCCCACTTCAGGGACGCTCCACATTGCTCCTCTCCTGCACGCCCCAAAGGCCAGCGCCCAGGCCCCGCCGTGGTCTGAGTGTGCCCTTCGTGGGTGATCACAGTAAAAATCCTCTTTGCAACCTCCAGGAAACCCGGGGCCCCTGCTCCGCGGCCTCTGCTGGACGGCGTGGAGGGCTCCGGAAAGGCCCAGGTCCGCTCCCACCCGCAAGCCAACTCCGGCTCTGCGGGTCGCGCCCAAGGCGCGGGAAGTGGCCGCGGGCTGCGGGGCCGGACTCCGCGGCTTCCAGAGCGCACCTCTGAGCCGGCGGCCACGATTTTGGTCCACTCGGAGGACAGAGATTTCGGTTTTCCTCCAATCGCAGATGCTTAAGAATCTGATTGCCGCCCAAGGACCTGCTTCCCCACCCTGGTACCGGGTCTGTAGCCGCGAGCAGGACTCCCCCACAGCCTGGGGCAAAGGAATGAAGATGCCTGAAGAGTTCCTGTCGCTCCTTTTGTTGGGTTTCCTCCTTTTCCCCTGGGGTAGGCGATGGGGGAGAGGGGGTTTCTGACTCTCTCTGAGTCTCCCCGCATCTCCGCCTAAGTGATCTCAGAGCCCGACAGCAGACCCCTTTATTCCCAACCTCCAATTCCGAGTCCCCTTCGGTGCCTCCTGCTGCGTGTCCCTAGGCCCCGTGTGGGACCCTCCACCCAGGTCCGACTAGAGGGATCCAGCCACAGGGACCCCACCTCCTGGCCCTGACGGCCCACACACTGCTCACTCCCCTGCCCACCCAAGTAGCACCAAGCTGTGTTGACTGAGGGGTCGGAGGAGCAGCCCACCCAACCTCCTTCCTGGGAGCCACCTACAGGGCCAGCTGTGTGTGTGAGGGGTGGGGGGTGAGGCTGAGCTGCCTGGTCCCACTGGCTGCAGGGCTCCCCAGCGGGCTGGGGGGACCCAAGGGAGAAGCAGAGAAAGAAGATGTTCCCAGGGATGAGGGACTAACACCATCTGGAAGAGCAGGAGACCAGGGAAGTGTCCTCACACTGGTGGGAGTCAGCTGGTGAGCCCAGGTGGGGACCCTGAGCCCAGCGCGAGCCGAGCCACCGAGCCACCTCGGGTCCTCCCCCAGGACCTGGTGGACCTACCTCCCTCTGGAGCCCGCCTCTAGGGGAGCTGCACCTCTTGGGGGGCTCCGCCTTTCTCTGGGGTCTGGAAGACAGGCCGGCCTGTACGCAACAAAATTCCAGATCCTACTGCATCTCCTATAATACGCTCAATATGCTGCAAATTTAAAATCAGTGAGGGAAAAAATCAAGTAAACAACAAAAAATATAATATAAAACAGAGGGTTTCTCTGGAGCCAGAGTGCCATGGGGAGGGAGAGCAACAAAGGTCTTCAGTGGGCCCTTCGCTCTCTCTGCCATATTTTGGTTTCCAATAAGGCGGACATGGTACATTTTGCTCAATTTTCCACTCCTAATCACGTTGAGAACGTTGTGGAGAACCGGCTTTCATTCTTCTGAATGGATTTTGGAGCTGGAATTCATTTAATGAAGTAGTACTTCTTTCTCCACTTGGACCTGGAACCTGCCAGTCCTGCTCTGATCTGTCTGTCTGTCTGTCTGTCCGAGACCTGGGCTTGAATTGGGCATGACATCATGTGACATCTGCCCAGGCCCCAGTGGGCTCCGTGCTGGGTAGATACAGCAATCACCCAGGGACCCCATCGGCTGGGGTGAGGTCGTGGCCAGAAGACCTGTGAGCACCTGAGAGGCAGAGGGGCAGGAGGCAAAGAGAGGGGCAGAGACCAGACACATGCCATGGAAAGATAATGTTGGATTCAACTCAAAGCCAGGGAGGTGGAGTCAGGGGTAAGAGGCCAGGAAAGTTCCAGCTTTGAATACAGAGCACAAATGGCTCGCGAAGGACTTTCTGTTTAGGTGCAAGTGAAAATGCCATTAATAAAAGCTCTTTGCAAGGAAACTTTTGACTCCTTAGCAATTGAAATAGGAGGGTTCAGGAAAGTGGGGTTTCTGAAGCTGCCACTTAGGCCCCAGAGCAAACCTCGGCGGTTCTGTGTGGTGCCCTTTGTGGCCACTGTCTGAATAAACTAGGCTTTGTTTGCGGGGCGCCCTCCTGAGCATTGGGCTTCCTGGCCCTCTGCCCCCCCTTCCCCCTACAACTTGAAGGGGTGAGCTTGCTGACTAGATGCTCGGTCCCTTTTCTCCCCACCTCCCCCAAAGCTCCCTCCCGCACAGAGTCCTCCTCTGTCCCGCCTGGCCAGCTTTATTGCAAGGCCGCCATCAATCTTTCCCCTAACGCGACATTTGTTTATGACCCGGTGGGAAGGGCTAATGGCTTCATGAACCGGCTCTGAAATGAGTTGAGAGGAGTCTAAAGAGAAGGATCTGGGCTCAGAAGCAAATGGGGCCCTTCTCCAGGAGCTCTAAGGAGTAGGGGGCAGGGAGAAACTGTCACTCCACACAGTCTTGCTTCAGGTGCGACTCACAGTGGGGACAGCACTGCGCGTCCTAGGGCAGCCTCCCGTCCCCCTCTTCTGGCCAGCCAGCCTCAACTGGCAGAGGGTCCAGGGTCTACGAGGTTTTGCACCACTGACAACAAAACATAATGCCCCTCCATCTTACAAACAGAGACCCCCTCCTAAGAGAACAGGGTGGGAGCGAAAGGTCCTATGTCCCTTCTTCACCTATCCCGAGTTTCGGGGGAGCCCATTAGGGCTCTAAGGCGCTCTTGTTTCCTGACCCTTTTTCCTGACCCCACAGGAAACAGCCAAGAGCTACGGGCCACCAGCACAATCAAGCCTTATTTCTCTGCAAACATCGATTATTAATGACACGAACTGTGTGGAATGATAAATTGCAAAATGCATGCTTGTTTGCATGCATTCTGGTGAAAAAAGGCTGCTAACTACTTAACGCTGAAAAACAGCCCTCCTTCCTACCACAGGGACAATATGCCAAGCGCAAGCTTTTCTCTGGCATGTACAAGCCAGCATTCACTTGCTAGTGGTATAAATTGCTACATACGATAACAAATGCATCTACTACAGAAAGGACACACACTCATTATCCTAAAGCTTGCTATAGAAAGAGGCTAATTCCACAATCAATCAAGTCCCCACCAGCGGGGCCTGCCTGGTGGTGCTGCAGGCAAATTTCAAAATACTCTGCCTGTTACTTAGAGTGTCAAGGAGTTTCTCTGAGAACATGTTACCAACAAAATATCTTTACTGCTGAAAAAGTACAAATCAAAAGTGTGAACCGCTGAAGAAATAAGGAATCCTCCCAGATTAAACGAAGGTTGGCAGGAGTTGCTTTGACTTAAGTTGGGCATGAGCATCCAAAAGTCAATGCGCTGATGGTAGAAACCATCGGTGTGTGGTTGGTAAGATCAGAACTGCTGATCTGCCTTCAAACAGATGCTGAACCACCGTGTAGCCAATAAGGCAGACGGAGCTACTTGCTTCCCTGCGCACAGCCCAGGCGCGTCCAGTGCCTAAATCAAACTGTGGATTCGCTAGGGGCAAAAATGGGCTAAGATGCCCTTTCTGGGCCACACATAAAAACCGCTTAGAAGCGCAGAGACTGGGTGCTGGAGTGCAGCCTAGCTGCTTCCTCCTGCAGCCCCAGGGCTCCGGCCCAGGAAGGAAAACCTAGGGGCGCCCCAAGTCTGCCCAATGTGTGCATGGTTAAGAGAGGACTAGCCAGGGTGGGCAGCAAGGGGGGCTCCTATTCCTTTCCTGCTGGCCCAGCTAGCTGCTCCCACTCAGATGGCATTCGCTCCCTCTGGGCGCCAGGGCCCAGGCCCACCTTTGGGTATAGTTCTCAGAGCCTGACAGGGCCTAGGTCCTGGGCAGGAGGTGGCCACCACCTCTGGGCTGCCAAACCCAGGCCGGAGGAGAACCAGAGGGTCGTGGGCACGTGGAAAACGCGGAGCCGGACGTCGCCCGCCGCCTCTGCGTCCATTAGGCCCAGCGACCGCCCGCGCCGGCCGCAGCCAGGTGGTTTGCAGCCTCTGGAAAGCGACCTCACACGCCGCGCGGGGACGCAGCTCCGCCGCCGAGGCCGTCTGGGGGCCCCCGCGCCGCCCGAGCAGCTCTGGCGCCAGCGGGCGAGGCCGGGCGGGCTGGGGCTCCTCCTGCGACGCGCGGCTGCCCGGAGGCGGGCTGGCCCCGGCGCGGTCACCCGGCAGCGAGGGAGCGCCGGTGACCTTTCCACCCCGGCGGCTCCTAAACACACGTGTGTCCTCAAAACAAAGGCGGCGAGGAGTAGAAACGGGGAGCCCCTGGGCCTGGGCGGCGCGAGGCCGAGTTGGGGTGGAAGAGCAGAGCCGGCTGCGCCCCGCGACGCGGAGACCCCGACCCTCCAGCGCGCGCCTGCCCGTCGCCACCTTCCGGGGCGCGCAGTCCCGCTGGCACCCCAGCCCCGGCCTGGGCTGACCCCAGCACACCCCGAGCAGGCCTGCTGGCTTCGACTTTCGACCGTAAACCACGGATTTCGGGCGGGGGCACAGCAGCCAGGGGAGCGAGAGCCCGACCCGGGCGCGGGGCGGGGGAGCGTGGGGGAGGCAGGAGCTGCAAACACAAACAGAAGCCGGCCGGGCCGCGGCGGGTAATTACAGCTAATTAGCTGAAGAGCCTTCCCGGTCCCGAGCCGCGTCCCGGGGTCGGCGTCCCGGACAGGCGCGACTCGGCAGGGCCGGGGCCGCCCAGCGACGCCCCGGCTGGCCGGGACGAGGCGGGCCCCGCATCTGCGCTCGCCACCGCCACCCACCCTGCCCCGCCCCGCTTCCAAAAAGTTGAAGCCGGCAGATCGAGAAGGGTGCGCTCTCCCGCCGCCCGCCCTGCCCCGTCCGTCCAGGGCCGGTCGGAAGGGCCTGGGCCGAGGGTCACCTGCTGCCGCTTCCCCTCCAGGCCGCAGCAGCCCCGCTCCGGCCGCCCGACCCTTTGTGCGCACCCCCCAGCGCGCGCTCGGCTCCCGGCCGCGGGAGGACTCGCAAACGCTGGCGAAGTGCGTGACTTCTCACCCCCTCCCCGCCCCAAAGGGGTGCGCCTGGAAGCTCGAGGCAGCCCCGGGACCCAGGGCCGGGTCAGCCCCGGAGCAGAGCTGGGGAGGCGGCCCTCGGCTCGCCCCGGGCCGGCCGGGCTTGGAGAGGCCCCGGAGGCCTGCGCCCAGCCCACCTTTCCTGGCTAAGAGGGTGCGACTCTGAGGGAGGAGACCCAGCAAACAGAGGCCACGTAAAGCAGTTTTTTGACTGAAATTAGAGTGTATTTATTTGCAGCAATCCTTTAACAATGATCAAATTCTGAAAACAACCACCAGCAATTACTGCTAAGTGTTGCTTCTAGATAGGAGCAGCAGATAGCAGGAAACTGTATTATCTCGAAAACAAACAAAGGCCCAGAATGTCTGTAATCAAATCGCCATCTCCCCAAAGTCTGATTGACAGGGCAGATCACCCTAAGATAATGAATTTATTACATTTCCTGGGTTATTTACAAAGGGGGAGGGCCAATCCGGATTGCCCCCTAGGTTTAACTGTAAATTAACAAGAAAAATTGGATTGAAAAGAAACCACCCTGGACTACAATGTTCTGCGTCTCTCCTTCCTTCTTGTTATTGCTTTCATCTTTTTCAAAAAATAATTGCTCTACAAACATATCTCCTAAAATAGTTTCCCAAAGATTAAATATCCCTTTCCAACCCTCAGTATATTTTTTTTTTTAAAAAAAAATCAATCCTTCTAGTTAACCCACGAAGGACTGTAAATGTGGGTGAGTTATATACATACATTTTAAAACTGGTTTATTTTCCCTCTTACAGAGTGAAATTAATAGGGAAAAAATCTACCCAGTATTTGGCTTACTGGCTTACCCAGTATTTGGATGTAGAGTACACATCGCAATTTTTTTATGTGTTATAATAAAAGCCAAATATTCATTTGTCTATGTCTGAAGGCACATCGGACTTTTACACACAGGAATTGCTGCCGATTCACCGGCTTAAAAAAATTCCAAATCATGTTCTGTCATAACCGAGAAAACGTCTTGGTTTATATGCCAACTCGGATCTGTTTAGGAAAATATCGTTTTACTAGCCACAAAGCAAGCTGACTATATAGTACAAATTGCAGAAGATGCAGCAGGAAAAAAAAAAATCTAAACAAAAAGAGGCTTTTAGATGAAATTTGACAAGGAATAGTCAGAGGGTTTCTCGTTATTCAGAGATTTCGAATAGGTCATTTCTAGCGTTTCCATCTCTGAAATCTTTCCTGATGAGAAGCTTGTATGAAAGTATCCAGACATAAGGTCTCATTCAAAATGAATGGTAATTTATTAATAAACAAACAATGAATATGTCCAACAAAAGAAAGAAAAGATAGAGAAAGATTAATACAGTTTCCCTTTTTATAATGAAAAAAAGGCACAATTTAAAGTTTCAGGCAATTTAACGTCAGGTTTTGGAAACACTTTCTGGCGTTTGGTCCACGACATCCAACTACAAATTAAAAATAAATTACTATGTTGCAATTTACATTTTAAAACAAGTCCATGAATAAAAAGAAAGCGATTTTCATATAGGGGGGGGGCTTTCCCCCTTCCTTTCGACATAGGATAAAATAATATCTTACAGGTGAGGGGTGAAGGCAGGCGAGGGAAAGGGGGAGCTGAGAGGAGAGAGGGGGGAGCGTGATCTCTGAAAAGCAAGAAGAAACTTACGTGTTATCTGGAGTAACACTGTCCTTTAACAAACCGTGACTTTGCCGTTTCTGTACAAAATAGTTTACAGTTTTGTTTATCTAGAGAAGGCAAAGTGGAGGTGGCTCTGCATGACTCTTTTAAGAAAAATAGTTTTCTTTGTGCTGGTGAGTTGAGCTTTTGGAGGGGTCGTGTCCGCTGGTTTGGTGACTGGTTTTCAAATTTTAAAAACTGGAGAGATCTATATATATATAGAGATATATATATAATTTTTTTTTTTTTTGGTTTCGATTTTACACGGACGGTTCTTTGGGCTGTTCCTGCTCTGGGGTTCGAATCAGTTCGGCGTCGAGGGGTGGGGGCGGGGGTGTCAAAACTTGCTGCAGTCGTAGACGAAGGCCCCGGAGGTGCGGTACAGGGGCTGGCTGGAGGGGAAGGCCATCTGACAGCTACTGTTCCCGTTCACCGGCGAGTTGTTCAAGCCGATCCTCTGCGACTCGAACATCTCCCGCACCGAGTGGAAGTTCTGCTGCTGGCCGGGGTAGCCCGCGGCGGCGGCCGCCGCCGCGCTGGCCAAGTGGCCCAGGTCTCCGCCCGCCTGGTTCAGGTACCACGAGGTGAGGCGGCCCTGGTGGGCCGCGGGGTGGTGGCCGGCCTCCTGGCCGCCGCCGCCGTGACTCAGGGACGAGGAGCTGCTGCTGGTGACCGGGGGCAGCGAGTAGTCGGGCAGGGGGTCGTCCACGGCCGAGCCGCCGGCGCCCCCGGGCGCGCCCTGCAAGTGGCCGCCGCGCTCCCCGGCCGCGTAGAGGCTCATGGCCTGCAGGTTGCAGTGGTAGGTCCCCGCGCCCCCCGCGCCCCCGCCGGCGCCCGCGCCGCCGCCGGCGCCCGCGGAGCTGCCGGCGCTGGAGCTCTGGCTGCAGGGGGAGCTGTAGAGGGAGCTCTGGCCGGGCGAGTAGGCGCCCAGCGCCAGCGGGGGTGCGATGCCCGCGCGCGACGCCCCGGCGGCGGCCGAGGCCAGGAGGCCGGAGCCCAGCTCGGCGGCCGCGCCCTGGGGCGACCCCCGCAGCGACGTCATGATGTTGTCCACGCTGAAGCCCTGGCTGTGGTGCGGCGGGGGCGCGGGCGGCGCGGGCGGGGGCGCGGGCGGCGCGGAGTCCGCGCCGTCCAGGCTCAGCGGCCGCGCGGACGGCAGGCTGCCCGGGGGGCTGCTCCCGCTCGACAGGCTGCTGCTGCTGCTGTCGGGGCTCTCGATTTTGGGCACCGCGGAGCCCCCGGCGCCGCTGCCCAGGGCGGCGGCGGGGGACAGGGGCTGGGGCGGCGAGGGGCACGTACCGTTCTCGGTCTTGATGTCCTGGATGCGCACGGGCGGCGGCGGCGGGCCGGACGCCGCGCCCTCGGCCGGCTCGGACGGCGCGGACGCGGGCGGGCGGCCGGGCGGCGGCGGCGCGGGCGGCGCGGGCTCCTTGAGGTGCAGCCGGTCCTTCTCCTCCTTGTCCTTCACCGCGTCCTTCTTCTTGAAGCGCCGGCGCCGGCGCAGGAAGCTGCCGTTCTCGAACATGTTGTACGAGTCCGGGTCCAGCGTCCAGTAGCTGCCCTTGCCCGGCTTCTTGTCGTCGCGGGGCACCTTGACGAAGCACTCGTTGAGCGAGAGGTTGTGGCGGATGCTGTTCTGCCAGCCCTGCTTATTGTCCCGGTAGAAGGGGAAGCGGTCCATGATGAACTGGTAGATGCCGTTGAGGGTGATCTTCTTGTCGGGCGCGTTCTGGATGGCCATGGTGATGAGCGCGATGTAGCTGTAGGGCGGCTTGACCATGTCCTTGGGCTGGGGCTGCGGCGTGTAGGGCCCGTAGGCGCGCGCCATGCCGCCCGGGTACTGCTCGGCGTGCGCGGGGTGCGAGTACACGCTCATCGGGGCGGGCATGGCGGTGTAGCCGCCCCCGGCCGCCGCGGCCGCCGCGCGGTAGTAGCTCTGCTCGCCGCCGAGGTAGGGCACCACTCCCAGGGAGTTGGGGCTGGACACGGAGTAGCGCGCCTGCATGGCCCCGGCTCGCCGCCGCCGCCGGCCCGCGCCGCCCGCCGCCCCCCACCCTCGCGCCGGCCGCCCAGTCCGAGTCCGGGCCCCGCCGCGCGGGTGCCGGGCCGCCGCCTGCTCCCCGGCCTCTCCCGCGCTCGCCCCGGCTCCTGGGGCGCCTCCGGGCCACCGCGGCTCCCGCGTCGGTCGCGAAGGCGGGTCGCTGCGCGCTGGGGGCGAGGGCCGGCCCGGGACGCGGCGCCCGGCCTTGGAGCCGCCGGCCGAGCAACTTCCAGGCGCGGACCGGGGGACGAGCCACAAGTGGAAACCGGGCAGGCGCGCTGCTCGCCGCGCCGCCCGCGCCTGGCAGGAGACTGTCCCGAGCCGCCGGCGCAGGCGGCCAAATACCCGGGGCGGGGGGCCGCGCCGGCCGCCTTCCCGGGCCCGCGTCACCTTTTTTTCAGGCTCTCGCGCGCCGGCCGCTTAAGGAAGCATTGGGAAAACTTCTGAACTTTTGAGCATCCGTCACCCAGCGAGGACTTTTTTACGCAGTTACATTTTTTCCGGGCAGCGCAGCCCCGCCCCGCCCCGCGCGCCGCAGCCAATGGGCGGCGAGAACCGCCTCTGAATGAGCTGGAGGCCGAACCCCGCCGGCCCGCGCCCCGCAGCGGGAGGACCGCGGGGCTGACCACACGCGCGCCGGCCGCCCGCGCCCCGCGCCCCGGCCCGCTCGTCCCCGCGCGCCCCGCGTGCCCGCCGCCCGCGGGGTTCCCCCCCCCAAAGCCCCCGGCCCTCCGCTCGGACTCCCCGGTGCCCGCAGGCTGCCAGGGTCCTCCCCGGCCCCGCGCGAACCCTTCTCGGGACTTCGCTCCCGGATGGCACCGAGTCCCCCCCGGCCCAGCTCGCCGGGCGCGCTCCCACCCCGCGGCCGGTCTGGCCGGCTTCCGCGCCCGGATTTCCCGGGCCTCTCCTCCCTTCCTCCTTTTCTCTCTCTCCCTACCCCTGCCCTCCCCGCCCGATCGCCCGTCTCGCCCGGTTCGCAGACGTCTCCAGCCTTCCCCCACCTGGAGGTTCTCCGGTGCTGAGCAGGGTTTCCAAGGGCGCGGATCGCGCGGCTCGGCTCGCTCGCAGCTGGGCTGTGCTCGCGGTGGGGAAGGAGCTGTCGCCCCCTCCTTGCGGTCCCCGTGACCCCTCCCTCGCAGGAATAAGGAGGGGGGTCGGGCCGGGGTTCGCGCAGGTAGGCAGCGCCCGCCCCTCGCTCCGCAGCCGCGCTCCTCGGCGTCCCAGGGCCTTCGACAGCCTGAGGGGACCAGAGGCTCCGGTTGCAGGCGTCTGGGGGCTGCCCTGGGCTCTCCTCCAGGGAGGGCGCGGGGTGCCTCGCCGCGCAGCGTCCCCTCTAGTCCTGTCGGGCACAGGCGACTCCGAGGAGGGGGTCAGACTGCGGGCTCAGGGACGCGTGCAGGTGCGATGAGTAAATCAGTAAACAAATACGTCTAAGAGCTTGACGCGTCCCTGTCCAGGCTGCATCTCCTCAAGCGCTGGGCCGCTGGCTCTCAGAGATAATGGGTGTGTTCAGGGCTGGGATGTTCAAAATCGCACCTGCGGGGCAGCTCCGGGATTGGGGTGGGGGGTGGGGGATGTGCCTGTGTCTGAGTTGTGCAGTTTCTGGGTGCCTGGGTGGGGGGAGAGGAAGCAGAGAAAGGAGAGGGCAAGAAACGAAGCAGCAGGAAAGAGACGGGCCTCCCTCCGCGCTCCAGCAACTCCAGAAAAGTCCCTCTTGGAGACTGGACACCAGAGGCTTCCAGAAGCCCGGGAAATGGCAGTTTGGGAAACTGAAGAAGAGCGGCGAGCGCGTTAAATACCTCCACGCCTCAGCTCCTGACAATTTTGAACCCCGTTAGGAGCCCCTGATGACTTCCCGCTTGAATCCCGGCTTCCTCGTTCCCAACAAAAAGTCTAGTTGCAACTTCTAGTTGTGGATGCCCCGGCCACCGAGTAGCGTGGCGAGCACATCTCCGTGTCACTTGAACCTTTACAATTTCCAGAATGGACATTTACATGGGAGGAGGGGGAGACGTTGCTGCTTCTGGAACTGGCCTGGGGCCCGGGGTGAGGGGTCCGGATGTCCCCGTTCCTGGGGCCGCTGCCTGCTGGCCTGCTGTGCGCTGGGGCCACTGGAAACGGCTTTCCCCGGGTGTCCACAGGCCGAGGCACTTGGAGGTTGGAAGAAACCTTTGATTTAGCAAAAGGGGGCTCAGTACTTACTGGCCCTTAAACACTTGGGGTGGGGGGTGCGGGGGCAGAGGGGCGGTGAGAAGGTGAGGGAAGCCCAGGACTTGAAAATGAATCCATGTCCACCCCCTAGCCCTGCATCCTGACTTAACTTGCCCCTTTGGGACGAGGCTTTTCGGAGCACCCAGGCTTCAACCTGGGGGCCAATGAAGTGGTGGACTCCCCACGCGCCTCAGCATTTGGTGGATTCGGTATTTAAACCTTTCCTCTGCTCCCGGTGCTGGAGGCTCACGCAGCAAAAACGACGCATTTGCTTTGCGAATGTGGGGATCGCCAGGGGTGCCCCGCTGTTCCCCGACCCCCGGGCAGGTCCCGGCCTCTGGCCTCTCCTGCTCTCCCTCCGACCGCCCGAGACCTGTAAACAGCTTGTTATGTAAATTGCAAATCGAACAGCGATGGTGCTATGGGCTCACCGCTTTGGGTATAAAAGTTGCCGTTGTGAAATTAGTATCTGGCATGCGGAAAAAAAAAAATGAAGGGGTGCCGTTTTGGAAAGATCAACTTTCCACTGGTTTAGCGCTGGATATTCGCCAGGAAAAGATATTTGCATTTGTGTTTTATAAGCTTACTCGGAAGCAAACCTCCAGTAAACGGCTTGATTGTATTTCAAGTACTTTACTTATTTTATTATTATTAGTGGTGTTATTTGAACACGAAGGCGCAGAGATGAAGTCTTTGGGGGGAATGGGTTAAAGTCTTTATTTTCAGGTTAGCGTTTTTCGTGGCCCCTTTTTGCAGCTCCGCGGGGTACTTCAATTCTCCATCTCCCCTAACCCCCCAGAACCCTGACTCAATTGGCAGAAATGCCCCTCAGGAAACCTTGGCTTTTTTTCTGACACCTAGCAGGGTTTGCAGCCGAAGGTCCCGCGGGCGACAGCGTGATGGATGTTTGGTGGAACTGTCGCTCAGCCCACCCAACCTCCCCCACCCTGGCCTGACCCGCCAGGCTGGGTTACACTTCCCGGGGCCCACCGAGGGGTTCTGAGCTCCGAGGAGGGGGCGTGACGTCACAGAGATATTTAAAACTAGGCCTCCGGGGCCCCCGACTGTAGAAAAGCACCAGGAAGGGAGATGGGGTGAGCACTCCAGGAAATGCCCGGATTTGGGAACGTGGTAGCACTGCAGGAATGTAGGGGTGAAGGGTGGGGGTAGGAGATGGCCACCTGAAGCAGGTCACCAAGAGCTCTTTAGCTTTTCTTTTCAAGACAAGTAGAGAGAATAAAGCTTGGGGAAGGGAGGACCTGGAGTCTAGGAATGACTCCCGAGGTGCGTGTGGCCAACTCAGGGTGCACAGACTGTCCTGCCCGTTAGAGACCGTTAGGAACTTTACAGCTTCATCTCAGCCTACAACAGCCGAATGGCCCCCCCGTGAAGTGGGGGCACCCTCCCTCTGCACCCCGCGATGCTGGCTGGGTCTCTGGTTTGGATCCTGGAAGCCAGCCCCTAGGGGGCCAAGACACCCGCAGTCGTGGCTCCAGAAGCAGAGTGGCCCTAGAGCTGCGGGAAATAGGAAAAGCGAACATAGGAGACAGGGGGGTTTCCTCCCACTCTGGACAGTGCGCCCCACTATCCTGGGGAATCCTGCGAGACGCCCCAGGCGGTCTACCATCTTCTCCATCAGACCCGGAGTCCAAGTCTAAGATTAATGCAATGACCCCGAAAAAGCAACTTGAAAACTGAAATCACAAACAACTGGAGAAAGCCCGCTTGGGGAGGGGGGTGCGCTGAATATTTAGATAACTCCCATTGTCTCCGCCTGGCCTCCTTTGTTCAGACCAGAAGCCTAGGGGCAGGGAGGGTATTCTGGGGTCAGGAACCGTTACTCGTTATCAAAACATCAGCCCGCAGGTAGCGTTCCTCAACGGGGGACTTTTCAGCAGAGGGGAGAGGCTGGGACCAACATCTGGGTGGTCGCGACAGGAGCAGATCGACTTCTTTCTTCCCTTCTCAGCAGAGTTTCTGTAGATGCAGACCCTTCCAATCCTGCCCTCTCCTTAGCAGAAAAAATAATTCCTACAACAAATGCAAAAAGCGTTTGTTTTTCCCAGGACGTTTTAAATTCAAAGTGATCCACATTACCTGTCTACGTGATTGAGCTAAGTCGATATTGCACACTCCACGGGAAGTTTATGGGTGAGGCACATTTCACGTCGTCCTCAACCTCCCCAAGACGGGTGCCTCAATAAATATTCCCGCGCGCCAGGGGCGCGCCACACCTGCTCAGGCTTAGCCACTCAGCTTGGCCCACCTGTCGACCCTCCGCAGGAAAGCCCGTCTCCCGGGTCTTTCTGGGGCTCGTGGCTTAGCTGGGAGCACGCGGGAGGTGAGTCTGTAGCTGTAGTTCCTGGCTTCCCTTGTCCAGGCAGAGGTAGATGGAGACCCCAGCCACCACCTGCATTAACAATCCAGAACAAGAACAAAATGTGCAAAGGGGTGTTTGGAAAGGACTAGCTCTGAGTGGGCGCTCCCGCGCACCCCGATTTCTCCCCCATCCAGGGCCCCAGCGACTCGGGCCAGCGGTCTCTTGAGCAGGGGCCTTCAGGGATAGAGGCCCCGGTGGCCTCCCCGCCTGGCGACCTGGGCGCATCTGGGGCAGGGCCCGGCCGTCCTCCAGCCGCAGAGGCTGTGAGCGCAGCGCAGAGACTGCGGGACCCGGCGGGCGCCGGCCGTCGGAGAACCAGGGGCGAAGGCGCCTTCCCGGAGCTGGAGCGGAAAGCTCGCGCTCCTGCACGGAC